GTGGCCTATAACCTGGTGCAGGGTGAAAAAGTGTTTGTCCGTGGCCTATACCCTGGTTCAGGGTGAGAAAGTGTTTGTCCGTGGCCTCTACCCTGGTGCAGGGTGAGAAAGTGTTTGTCCGTGGCCTATACCCTGGTGCAGGGTGAGAAAGGCAATGATGATGATGACTGAAAATAAGCGGAGGCAAGACTAGAGAACCGACAACCAGCCTTGCAAAATGATTTTTTTGAGAAATACTGAAAGTTTCAATGAAATACTAGAAGTATTCTAAAATATGAAGAATACAACCCCGGGAGTACAAAATGACTCCAGGGCGTACGGATTGGGTTAAAAGAGTATTTTCACATTTCTGTTTGTTTTAGTAGAAGTGTTAGGGCGCTCGCAACTGCATAAGGTCATATGAGCGCCAGAAGATTAGAGAAGTTACAAGAGAGTAACAAACATAAAGAAGAAAAAGGGGAGATAAGGACGATAGATGTTTGATAGGAAAGAAGGAGCAAACCACACCAGAGCACCTGCCAACCACCCACAAAAATGATGTACGCAATGAGCAGACAGGCCAAGCAGCAGAGAGTAACACGTACTTTTCCATTTATTTCTAGTAAGAGTTTTACGGTACTTGCAACACAATTTATTATTTTAAAAAAAGGTCATATAAGAGCTGAATTTAGAGGAGTTACAAGAGAGTAACAAACACAAAAAAGAAGAAGGAGAGATAAGGACGATAGATGTTTGATAGGGAAAGAAGGAGCAAACCACACCAGAGCACCCACCAACCACCCATGGTTGTTGTTAACAAGATTTAATTAAAGTTCCAATCAAATTTTTGTTTTTTTTTAACTTAAATAATAAATTTTTTTAAAAATGTATTCCTTCAAAAAAAAGACAGTAACACTTACGTCTTTGTCCGCGGTGACCTCCTCCATGATGCCGTCCAGCCGGGCCCGCGGCATCCTGTGGTGGACGTACATGAGCAGGCGCAGCAGATGTCGCAACACGTGCTCCCGCGACACTGCAGGCTGGGCGGGGGGGTAAAGGTCACGGGAGGTAGGAGGAGATCACAGGACATGACACGACATGACATGACGAGATAAGACAAGATAGGAAATGATAAAATGATATGGTAAGATAAGATATGGTAAGAAAGATATGGTGTGGTATGCAATAGTATGGTATGGCATGGTATGGTATGGTATGGTATGATAAAATAAGGTGTGGTATGGTATGGTATGGTAAGACAAGATAAGGTGTGGTATGGTATGGTATGGTATGGTATGGTATGGTATGGTATGGTATGGTATGGTATGGTATGGTAAGATAAGATAAGGTATGGTATGGTATGGTCTGGTATGGTAAGATAAGATAAGGTAAGGTACGGTATGGTAAGACAAGATAAGATATGGTATGGTATGGTATGGTAAGGTACGGTATGGTATGGTAAGACAAGATATGGCATGGTATGGTATGGTATGGTAAGACAAGATATGGTAAGGTAAGATAAGATAAGATAAGGTATGGTAGATAAGATAAGATTTAGTTTTAGTAGAGGTTTTAAGGCACTCGCAACTACATAAGGTCATATGAGCGCCAGAAGAATAGAGGTGTTACAAGAGAGTAACAAACATAAAAAAGAAGAAAGGGAGATAAGGACGATAGATCTTTGATAGGAAAGAAGAAGCAAACCACACCAGAGCACCCGCCAACTACCCACTATGATAACATAAGATAAGATAAGATATGGTACGGTATGGAATGGTATGGTAAGGTATGGTAAGGTATGGTACGGTATGGTATGGTATGGTATGGTATGGTAAGATCAGATACGGTGTGGTATGGTACGGTAAGACAAAATATGGTATAGTATGGTATGGTAAGATAACATAAGGTATGGTATGGTATGGTATGGTATGGTATGGTATGGTATGGTATGGTATGGTATGGTAAGATAAGATATGGTATGATATGGTACGGTATGGTATGGTAAGATAACATAAGATATGGATTGGCATAGTATGGTATGATATGGTATGATATGGTAAGATAAGATATGGTATGATATGGTATGATATGGTAAGATAACATAAGATATGGATTGGTATAGTATGGTATGGGATGGTAAGATAAGATATGGTATGGGATGGTAAGATAAGATATGGTATGGGATGGTAAGATAAGATATGGTATGGGATGGTATGGTATGGGATGGGATGGTAAGATACGATATGGTATGGTATGGTATGGTATGGTATGGGATGGTAAGATACGATATGGTACGGGATGGTATGGTATGGTATGGGATGGTAAGATACGATATGGTATGGGATGGTATGGTATGGTATGATATGGTAAGATACGATATGGTACGGGATGGTATGGTATGGTATGGGATGGTAAGATACGATATGGCATGGGATGGTATGGTATGGTAAGAAAAGATATGGTATGGGATGGTAAGATACGATATGGTATGGGATGGTATGGTATGGTATGGGATGGTAAGATAAGATATGGTATGGGATGGTGTGGTATGGTATGGGATGGTAAGATAAGATATGGTATGGGATGGTGTGGTATGGTATGGGATGGTAAGATAAGATATGGTATGGGATGGAGAGAGAAGCACATCAACACAAAAAAGGTTATTTTAGCCCCAGGAAAAAAAAGCAAGAGAGGTAGACAAAAATAACGGAGGACAAGAAATCAAGTACGACGTAACGACCCCAAACCAACCGCATCAAGACCATAAAGTGGACGGCTTTTTTTACTTTTTCTTTTTTTTAGTAAGACGTTTTTACAGCACTTGCATCACAATTAGACCGTATGAGGGCAGAAGATTAGAAGTGTTACAAGAGAGTTACATACAAAGTTAGTTTTAGTAAGAGTTTCACGGCACTTGCGACACAACAAGGTCATACAAGTGCCGAACTTTAAAGGTGCTACAAGAGAATAACAAACATAAAACAGAAGGAGGAGAGATCAGGACGATATATGTTTAAATAGGAAAGAAGGAGCAAATCACACCAGAGCACCCGCCAACCACCCACTAACATACAAAGAAAAGAAGGAGGAGAGATAAGGACAGCAGACGTCTGATAGGAGGAAAAAAGGAGCGAACCACACCAGAGCGCCCGCCCGCCAACCACCCGCTAAAAGACGATCCACCAACCATGAAGAAATCGTCGAGCACGGCGCGGCAGAAAGACTCGTTCTGGAACTCGTCCTTCATGTAGATGAGGTAGGAGGTGAGGCAGTGCAGGAAGGTGTCGCTGTACGCTCGGTCGTTCTCGCAGTGGATCAGCGTCGGCAGGATCTGGGTCACCGCCAAGCTGTCCCTCAGCCGAGCGCACTGCGGAGGTCAGGGGGGAACAATTACCGATATTTTAAAAGTTTTAGTAAGAGTTTTACAGCACTTGCAGCACAATAAGGTCATATAAGTGCTGAAGATTAGAGGTGTTACAAGAGAGTAACATACACAAAATAGAAGAAGGGGAGATAAGGATGATAGATATTTGATAGGAAAGAAGGAGCAAACCACACCAGAGCACCCGCCGACCACCCACAACGATATTTAAAACATTTGACGGCTGGGATTTCAAGCAAGCAAGCCAGATCTAGTCCAAAGAGGAAGAGAGAGAGGGTTAACAATGCCGGCTCTAAGCAGACTTGTACTTGATTTAATGTATGTTGAGCCTTCTCCAATGTGTCAGAAATTTGCCCTATACTGTACTGCAATCACCTGATAAAATACCTTCTTTTATTTGGAAAAAAAAACATGTTTTGTTCATTTGCTTAATCCAAAGCCTGATCAGTTTCCCCTACTTGTGTCAAAGAAATCAAAGTGAAACTGTGACTACTTTTCCAATAAGTTATGATTGAAACTTCAGAAGAGTGCCTTTTTAAAATGGTAATGCTACCAAAAAGCCTTTTTATCTCGAAACTGCTGTAAACTTTTAAAAAAGGCATTTTATCAGCTTACGGCAGTGTAGCTGTGACCTACAAAAATGGGCCAATTTTCGAGTCCAAGTATATCCCCCTTTCCCTTCTCTCTCCCCCTCCCCCCCCACCCCACTCACTATAAGCAAGATGAAATTGTAGGCAAGTGTAGAGAGTAGATAAAATGACAA